TGGCAATATATCCCCCATAATCATCAAGAAGCAATCTGCCCATATAGCTGAGCTTGACGCTTGACATTTGAACTTGTTTGCTTCCAGCTCCATATTTGCTGGGCTAACAGAAATGTAAATACCGGTGCAATACTCATTTGTTAGCTTTGATTTGTTTTATTTCACCTTATATACCTCCTCCATCAAGAGCCAGGGTAAAAGTCAGAGATTCACTTTGTCTTTGACCTTTGGACCAAAATGACCTTGACCATTAACCCAGTGACCCTGACCTTTGAATCTAATTACCTTGACCTTTGACCTCGACTTTTTTCCTCAGTGTGTCTCTTTGTTTAATTCCGAACAACTTTGCTTCATAATGTCATAGTGAAATGTTCACCAGTGAAAGCTACAAAATTTGACCTTGACCCCTGACCCGATGACCTTGACCTTTGGTCAGTTGACTCCTTGTTTAATTCTGATCAACTTTGCTCTATAATGTCATAACAAAATGTTCATCAGTGAAAAGATGTAAAATTTGACCTTGACCTTTGAACATAATGACCTTGACGTTTGACCTTGACTTTTCACCTCAATGTGTATTTTTGTGAACTGAACATCTTGACCAAGTTTCATGTACATCGGTCAATAAATACCAAAGTTATCAGCAAGGAACAAAATTTGTGGACGGACAGACAGAGTGATTACTATAGGGCCCCCATATCTCTGATATGGGGCCCTAATTAACTTGGTAAGCTTCTATTTCCACATCTCTATATACCTGATCAGCGTTGCTTTTTTAAATCTTCATGTACAAAAATACTGTATTAAACAATCAACAGATATGACAAGTTGACAACTACATCTATATCCCAATCATCAAGTAAGTATTGATGTGCCTGTCTATTTCTGTCAACAAATGAGCTTTATATATACTGCAAATCAATAATACATTTGATGTTGCACTTTAAACGGAACACCCATTTATTGGACATGAGCTTCATTATTCATAAGGAAACTATTGTTACAATATGCTCAAGACCAACCTCAATTTTCTAAAACATTTTCCTTTTTTTTTCAGCAGAAAATCAGACAAGTACGTCATTGTGTTTTGAACACATGCATACAAACTGTACTTTATGTCAAAGCACCAAATCATCTTAAACCGCACAAAATGCATTTTATGTATCTTTACTTCCGCTAGGATGCTTGCATAAACTTTTATTTCTACATGTTCATGAATTTATTTGATTTTCCCCTATTAGTGTGGTAGTTGTAAATGTCACTATTAACTATAATATTACATACCCTCAATGACAGCACTTCAAGGCAGTAATTACCTCCAAAACGTGACGCAGAAACTGTAAAACTCACCAACATCAGTAATTTGTTGAGAGGAATGGAAGAAATTTAAAATGCCAACTTCATTATACATGTAGTCCGGTGATATTTGTAAGGAATTTTTTTTAATAAGAGGCTTTATTCTTGTAACAGTTCAACATGTATTCTGCTGAGTCATGTTAAACCACATCCGACATGTTTAACTTTAAATCTCCATCTGTCACTCCAGTTAAGACAACATAATTAGGATTGACTACTGACCATTGGAATTGAAGGCTGGGGAAACCATAGCAATGCTGAAAATAATCATGATTCTAAGGCATCATGGTATGGGGATTCTGTTTAAAGTATAACAAATTTGATCCAGTGACATTAGATGGATTCAAGGTCATTCATATGAACACTCTTGATACATCTACCCCAGAAAGCAACAAGACAAATATTTTGACTCTAGACCTTTACTATTGTAAAAGGATTGGGTTTTGAACACTTAAGGCCCAGTCCCATTGCCAATGACGCATAAATCACGCATAAATCACGCATAAAATTGGTTTGTGCGTGATTGTTCGTGGAGAAATTGGTCATTTTCTGGGGTTATGCGTGGTCAGAATCACCGATGAATCGCGTATAAACTGCGCATGTATCACTTACAATCACTGACAAAGAATGAACATTCCACGCACAACAGCGCACAAACCCGATAAAATTAATAATTTTGGTAAGTGATTGTAAGTGGAACATACGTGGATTGTGCGTGTTTTGTAAGTGATATGTGCGTGTTCTGTAAGTGATTCGTCAGTGATGTGCGTGCTAGGAGCCAGTCCCTGACGCACAAGCACTGACGGAACACTGACAGAACACGCACATATAACGCACCTTCCACGTCCAAACTACATACAAACTGCGCATAAACTGCATATAATCGCGCACGTTGTGCGTGGAAATTTTTTTGAACCGTTCAAAACCGGCGATCGCACACAAACCCGTCTCCGCGTACAATCACTTACAAAAACTGATGCTCCACGTGGGATTTACGCACATCACTGACGAATCACGCACAAAGAAAATTTTATGCGCAATTCATGAGTAATTCGTGCGCAAGTGCAGTGGGACTGGGCCTTTACTTGTTGTATATATTTACGTATTTACGTTCCGCGTAACTGAGTGCGTGTACCTGGGGTATTCCCGATGGGGATTCCCTTTCGGTATATTATTTAGACGTTTCTGATTGGTTAATATTTTTAGGATATGTTACCTTACCTGTACAGCACTCTACGATCAGGTATGGGTCAGTATCGAGTTCACATACTACATTGCACGTGTATTTCAAATACTACATTGCACTTGTATTTCAAATACTACATTGCACGTGTATTTCAAATACTACATTGCATGTGTATTTCATTTCAAGGCATACAATTAAATTTGGCTATATATTATTGTAATATATTATCGGGGTGGGTTTAAACTTATTCCCCGGGGTGGGATACCGGGTGGACATTTTTGAGAGGACATATGTTACACGGTATACTGTTTTAGTATGGACCGGTCGAGTGGTTGACGTGCTGTAGCATTGTGCATATCTATTCATCATGTTTCATCTTATTTACTTCACTGTTTCATTTTGTACATAATAAATTCTAGAACTTTATAAAACGTGTTGTCATTCATTGACCTGTAGCCAGGCAGCTGAAGTTAAGTCATGACGGAACCACAGAGTTGACGAAAGAAAAAATCACTATATGAGGGCAAAACTTTACCACTATTATTGGTTTTAATCAGATTACAACCTGTAAACCTTGAAAGTGGTTCAATGTAATATATTTGAATAAATTATCCCAGCAAGTTATGGGACAAATCATGCCTCATGATTCCAATTCTCATGGTGGTGTAAAAGATGCCATTATATTTTTTTTAACAAACTAACTCTGTAGCCCTAATTTTAACAGAGCAAGCTACATATACAGGCCAACTATCAAGATGGTTGGCCTCATGATTCTGTAAAATATTTACAGACAGATGAAGAACGATGGATGCACCGCTATCACTTAGCACAATGACACTTTGTGCCAGTCGATCTAAAATCGAGTACACTGACACGTATGGTTTTAATAGCTTCAAACATCTTAAAATGGCCCCATTATTGCAGCATCCAGCAATATACTACCTCCTTAATGAAGGCACTGTCACCAGAAAGTCTACAGCTTTGTTCAATTCTGCTTCACTTCTGTGCACCAGTTAAACCGCACAATGGAGCACAGTTACCAAATCTAACTACCTCAGATAATATCAACACCTATAGCTACATGAGAGTGAATTATGTACAGTACAATGTAGTGGGTTCTGATACGTCTGGATAAAACATGTCTTTTACATACAAGAGATCCCAGAGGCGCCCAACTTTGTACCATCTTCATTAGTTCTTTGTCAGTTCTTTCTTTTCTCTTCTTTCCTCTAATCTGTTTGATCGAGTCATGTTAACAGTAAATGCACCTTGAGGTAACTTTTGATCTAAACTTAATACTGATGTGTATGAAAGCCAACCTTCAAAGTGAGTTTGTCATTTCACATATTTACTAGTACAGTACTTAATGTGAAAGAAATAGAATCGATCATTGCAATATGAGAAAGATCTGTTTAGTTCTTCTTTTAATCCATTTTGTTTTTATGATCAGTCTCAAAATATAACAT